CCAGGACGCTGTTCTGCATTGTTGAAGGAGGGCATTGCTGGCCCGTGGGCATCCTGGTGGCCAGCAGAACTTTTCCTCCCAGCTGGGTGGCTCTCAGCATGTACCAGTGCAGGTTTTAGGAATATTTAAAATTCTGAGAAGCCACTATGTGAATACTCATTAATATTGTTTGAATTAGACTACTTTAAGCCAATTTTGTGATGAACAGAAGCACCTCTCTCGAGCAGATCATGCTTTATAAACACTGTCAGGGCCGTGCAGCAGCTCTGTGCTGGGAGCTGCTCTCTCCATGCTCCTCTGTGGCCTGTTGCACACAGCATGTCCTTCCTCTTCCCAAGGAGCAGGTCATTCCCTGGTTCTGCTGTGGTTTGGTGAGAGGGTGTGTGAGGGTATGTGTGAGGCTGTGGCAGAGCTGGAGGCTCGTGTGTACAGCAGCCCTGGAGATGCTCTGCAAGCCCCAGGGTCACTGCTTCAGAATGTGGCTATGCCAACAGCTAGCAATCCCTGTTGCACAGCTAAACCTCTGTGAGCAGCAGGACCAGTGATCCTGGTTGCCTTTAAGTGTGTGTTTTGTGGCCTGTGTCCTTGGTCCTTGTGACTGTGTGCACAGGCTGGTGTCCCCAGCTGTCTCAGGTACTCAGGGTGGTCAGACTCAGGTGCCCTGTGCTGACACCCTTCCCTGCTGGGTGAGAGGCCATGCAGGGACCCCTTCTCTGTGCTGATGCCTTGTTTCCTGAACCTGAGGGTTTGTCTTGGACAGTTCAGAGACACTGATCTTGCTGTCAGAACTGGTTAGGATAGGCTGGTGGGGTCTGGCTGCAGACTGGCTCCATGTGCACAGCCCTCTTACACAGAGCATGGGATTCCAGGAGCAAAGCAGGAGGGAGCAAAGCACTCCCAGATGAGAATTGTCTTGAAAAATTCCACCCTCCAGCAGCACATTGTGGTGCTCTCTGGAGGGACCATGTGTATGTGTGTGGGGTTTCTTGGGGTGGCTTTCCTCCTTCCTGGCTTTTCCAGCCAGGGATCCTTGGCTGTCCCTCAGCAGAAGGCAGAAGTGAGGAGTCTTTGTGGATTAGTTGGGTAGGTGGTTGAGGAGTGGGGCTCATCTGCACCCTCTGTAAGACGTGGAGTAACACCCAATACCAGGAAAAATTGAGAAGTCAGGGCCTCACTGTAAAGGCCAAAACAGCTGCAGCTCCACTGCTGGTCTTTTAAAAGCTGCATTGGGGAGGAGGGGTTGAAGGTTGCTGAGCAGTCTGGTTCTGTTTTGGTTGGGTGGGCAGAGCTTTATCAGATGTCACTGGGACATGTGTAGGCCAAAAGCTTTTCAGACAACAGCTAAAAAAAAATCCCATAAAGATTAATAAAGCTTTTGTTCAATATCTAGGGCAATCAGCAGAACAATTCATAGAATATCCTGAGCACAAGGATTCTGGTCCACCTCCTGGCACTGCACAGACACCCCAGCAATCCCACCCCGTGCCTGAGGGCATTGTCCAAATGCTCCTGGAGCTCTCCCGGGGAGCCTGTTCAATGCCTGGCCACCCTCTGGGGTTAAAACCCTTTCCTAACATCCAAGGAAAAAGTGTGAGTTTGGTTTGCTTATTGTTGTGCTAATTTGCAGATTTGCATCCTGGTAGGCTGGAGAAGGAGCAGGCTGGGTAAAGCCCTGGGCAGCCTGGTGTGACCCCACCCTGCTGGGAGCAGAAGGTTGAATTAGAGACCTCGGATGTTCCTGAATTACCCTGTGATGATACGGGGTCAGGTTGCTCCAGGGCTTGCAGGATCCCCCTGAAGGGATCTCTGGGGCAATGGTACCTCCTGGGCTCTGGCTCCAGGGGCTGAGGCCACCAGGGTTGTCTGAGCTCTGGGCATCCCCTCGATGACCTTTTCTCCTCCCAGGGAGCAGGGTTATCCAAAGTGTCTTTCTCCTGCTATGGCAGTGGTGCTAGGGCATAGCTGTGGCAGAGCCCCTTTTCCTCATGTATCACTCCTGACCTGGAATATTTCACAGCAGGTTGTTTTTATTACAAAAACTAGTGAATTTACATGATATAATTAATATATATTAGTAGTAAGTGTTTGAAGGTGTTAATATTTTTAAACATTTATGTAATATTAAAAATAGTTACTATTTATTGGTATACTTATAGAAAACAAACAACAGAAGTTATAAGTTTATAAATAATAATTTATAAAACTTTGAATCATTGGGGAATTAGCTGATGACTTTGTATATAGGATTTGATTGAAGTTTTTTAAATGTTTTGTTTTTAGAGAAATTTCTGGTAATTGAATTATTACTAATACTTGTATCTTTATATGGTGGTTTCACTCGTTGGGAAACACTTTTTATAGTAAAATATTTGTATTTATGTTGTATTTGGAATAGTACTGATTTGTACAGTGTCCTTCCAGGGGGTTTTATACCAGGATTTAAAAAACTGTGAGCACCAAACAACACCTCCAACCTGATTCTCAGTCCTCCAGGTGGGGATGGAGCTCTGCAGCCAAGGTATTGTCATGCCCACACCTGTGGGGCCATGGTCCAGGGGCTGTGGGGGTTCTCCCAGGAGTGCTGAGTTAAAAGTTTACCAGCGTGTGCTGTGGTTGATGGGAGCAGTGTCGGTGGCAAATTGTTGTCTGACACCACGGAAGCCCCAGATGAGAGGTGGGAGAGCCCTGGGAGCCGCTGAGTTTCAGCTGTGGCAGGAGTGTGCTTAGGCAGCTCATGTGTGGCCTTGGAATAGTTTTGGGCTTGGAATAGAATTTGTGCTCCGTGTGTGCTCAGAGGGTAGGAATTGGGACAAGGAGTTAGGGAGGGAAAGGTTTCCACTAGCAGGACAGAAGTTGCTCCAGCCCAGGGTGCTGGGGCAAGCACTCACACTGCTGCTGAGGGACAGGCGAGGGGAACAGGAGGCACAGTTTGTGGTAGAATGATGGCATTGTTAAGGTTGTAGAGGACCTGTAAGATCACCGAGTCCAACAGTAGAGCAGGGACATGGGCTGGACGGGCTCCTCTGACTCTTGGAGGGCTCCCAACCCTCTGAGCTGGGCTGCCCCAGTGCTGGGACATGCCCTTTGTTGCAGTGAGGCCTTTCCCAGGAGGCTGTTGAAGGAGGGCTTGGCTGGAGGTTAAAGCCTAAATCTCAGTTGTTTAGCTTTTCCAGTTTAAAGAGCAGCACCACAATATGTAATCCAAATTCATTCTGTTCACCCTGAGCTCACAGTGTCCACAGCATCAGCCTAGTCCTGTAAGGCTGTAGAGAGCGAACCACAATTGCAGAATATCTCAAGCTGGAAGGACACCAAAGGACCATCAAATCCAACTCCCTGCTCCTGGCACCCAAAATTAAACTATAATGTTGACTACTGCTTTGCATTTCCTGAGCAAATATTTGCTCTTGTGTTCACATCAGAGACTGTGAGAAATTCAGGTGAAGCATCATGAACCTGAGCACTGGATCTAGTTGTTTCTCTTCCTTTCTAGGCATTTCCAGTCCCAAATTCTGTTTGAATTTTTAAAAAAGGCAAAAGTTCCCACAAAATGAAGAGCTGTCCTTGAAATATTTGACCCAATGATGAATCAAGGATTGACTGGATTTAAGTGCCAAAAAAAGCAGATAGATTCCTACTGGCTATTAGGAAGCACTGAAACAGGTTGGCTGCTAAATTAATTTAGTCTTTCACTTGGGAGTGTGGTGTCTAGATTAGTTTCTCAGTTCCTTCAATTGTCCTGACACTTAAGAGTGTTTTTCTGCACCTGGAGAGCCTGAAAGGTCTGTGCTGTTTGCCAGTTGACTATCAGGTGTTTCTAGTCACAAACCTGACAGAACTGGGAGAAGTAGATCATCCCCTTAATGTGATCACACCATCCCACTCTGTACCCTCTGATTGTAACACCTTTATCTGAGTGTCTCAAGTTTTAAAATTCCAGGCTTTATCCTTTGTAGCCCAATTCTTAGCTAACCCTCCTTCACCAAAATGATTATCCTGTTTTCCCCTTTCAAATTCAAATTGGATCAGGAGGGGCCAAGACATGACTGTGGTCCTCTCTAGCCCTGCCTCCATCCTGGCAGCAGGTGCTTTGGAGAGGATGCTGCTGCAATGTGGAGCCCCTGGGCCCATGGGTGGGGGGCTCGTCACAGTCAGAGACAGCCAGTCGTGCCCTTGAGGCCCTGACACTTTGCTTCCTCCTTGAGATTCATGGCTAGAGAGGTTGAGCATCACTAGCCCCCTGAGAAACTCAGGGGGGTACAGGGACATCAGGTCCCCCCCACTCACACCCCCAGTAACTCCTGTCACTTGTGAAATTCTCTTACAGCTGCTTAGAAGATCGAGGGTGACACCCGACGGGAGAACAGGAAGGGGCCCTGCAGGGAGCTCTGCCTGCTCCAGGGTGGGAGTTGGCAGCCCTCAGTCACAGTCTGTCAGAGCATTGTGGGCCCCCGTGGGAGCCAGGAGCAGCTTGTGGTGGACCTGTTGTGCTCGTGCCATCTTATGGTGGTGCCAGGTGAGAAAAAAATCCTCACCATTTGCAGGCTCTGAGCTGGGACCTCACAACTGGGGCTTTCATGGGGCATGACCTTCATGTGGGTTCAGTGGACCTTTAATACATCTTGCAGGGATTTCTGCTGGAAGAGACCATCCTGTGCAGTCACATTCTTGCTCCTTTGTTGTGTTTATACTGGTATCCAGCTTGATTTGTTCCCCACTGCCCTGCAGGGCCTCGCTGTGTGCCCAGGCAAGGTGATGGACAGCAGGGGGGAGATGGAGGTGGTGAGGAGCACCAAGGGCAGTGCTGCTGGAGAGGTCAGTGTCCACGTGGTCACCACCGAGAGCACTGTGCAGAGCACCCACCTGCCCACCACTGCCTTCATCATACCAGGTATGTGGAGCAGCCCCCTGCAACTGCTGCCTTCCCAGCCTGGGTAGCCCACACTCCTTGGGGAGCTGTGCTCCTCCCAAACCTTGGGAGGCAAAGCCAAGCTGCTGTTGCCATCTTGGATGTTCTCTGTGCATATCCCACATCACTTGGACTGTTTGTGGTCAATCAAATCTTCCTGAGCTTTAAACTGAAGTACTGGTGTGAGGGGCCCTGAACCAGGGCAGCACAGTGTGCTGGTTCCTGCTCTGCAGGGCTGTGAGCTCCTGGACTGCTGCATTAGCATGGAATCCCACAATAGCTCAAGCTGCAGGGGATCCATAAGGATGCTTGAGTCCAAAACCCTGATCCTGCCAGGAGCTCCTAAAATGAAACCAACAGGACCAAGTGTTGTCCACACACTCCCTGAACTTGGTGCTGAGCAGCCCCTGGGTGAGGAACCTTTTCCTAATGTCCCACCTGAACCTCCCCTGAGGCAGCTTTGTTCCATCTCCTCGGGTCCATTGCTGGTC